TCTTAGTTTTATGATAGACCTTGAACAACTGAATATTTTGGAATGAACGTTCACAGTGAACTATTGAGACTTATACAAATATATCCTGAAATTTTCAGCTAGATCAGTTGCTCTTACTGATGGGGCTTTAATTATGAGTAATTCTAACATATTTGCTTGAGGCGTTACTTATAACATTTACTTTCTGACGACGCACAATCGATAGCATATGTCTATTTAACAAATCACAGGAATTAAAATAGTAAACTTTTAAATGGATTTTTTGTCTTTACGAAGCTGTTGTTCAGAGTGAAATTTTGTGTTGGAATCGACTATATAAATACGAATGAATATCATTAAAGCCGTTGCAATGTAACTCAGTTGTGTTTTTGTGATGAATGACTTTTATTGCTCTTTTCTGTCTATCGTTATGATGTATTTGCATATATACGTGTGTGTGTGTTATGCATATAAATCGTTATTGAAAAGGATTTTCTATACGTTGCATTCATAATTTCTTCTTCTCTTGATCTTGTACTCTTTTTCTTCACTACGTGTACATCATTGTGGATGTTCAACTGGGAATGAAAGTTCTTTTATCATATCTGAACGATATATTGAGAACATAATAAACTCACGAAAATCTAATTCATCAATTATCATTTATTATTAAGTAGTATATTAGTGATATTTAAGGATAATCGTTTTAAATTCTAAAGTACTTGTGAATTCGTTCACGGTTATTTTTTTTTGAAGAGCACTAGTCATTAAAAACACGACAATTTCAATAAATAAATATGTTCATCACCTTTTCTAGATTCACATTGTTACGAAAATTTCCTTTTTTTGCTCATTCGAGTGTGTGTAATTATCGACATACCATTTTTGGAACAATATCAACATGGTGTTCGAACAATTGACCACCTACTTGATCGATAAATTTTTGGGAGATTATATTGAAGATTTAGATTCAAAACAACTCAAAATTGATTTATGGCATGGTAAGTCTAATCATTAGTTAAAATTCATCGATGATATTTACTTTTAGGCGATGTTGTTCTCGAAAATTTGTCTCTGAAACCTAACGCACTCGTAAATTTTAACATATCATATTAAAATTGAAATGTTGATTTTCATTATAACTAGGCCAATTTCAATCTTCCTGTTACAGTTGCTGTTGGTCATCTTCGTATGTTATGATCGAGTCTTGTTGATTCTAAAAATTGAATGAAATATTTAGAAAAATTGTCGCTTCACATTCCATGGAAGCAATTGTACACACATCCAACCAAGATCACCATCGACGGTCTCTATCTGCTTCTCACACCAAAAACTGGTTTGTTGTCATATTATTTTGTGTTTTTCCTGTATCAATCTGATTGTTATGTATTTGTATAGATATCGAATATGATCCTGAACGAGAAGAACAAAAACGGTATGAAGAAAAAATGGAAGAAGTACACAAAGTTGAACAGTTTCGCAAAGAAATTGAAGCATATGGTGAGATGAAGATCGATTACTGAAGTATAGGACCAGTTCTTTGGGAATGTTTTACAGTGCTAGAATCTATCCAAAAAGATTTTAATCTCGTAAAAACGTTCGTTTTGTTAAACACAAATATTAAAGAATAGAGTGAGAAAGTTGAAGTTCTATACAGACTGTAACAGACTCTTTTGAATTGTAAATTGTTTAAACCTATCAAAAGTTTTAAAAAAACTATTTTTCTCTCCTGTAAATGAAGTCTATTAGGCCCTTTCATAGACAGTTGCATATGATGCTTGAAAAATCATGACGAATATAACAAGCGTCTTCATGTTCATGCATAGCGGCTTCATCGCGCTTTACATTTCAATCCTATAGAAATTCTGTTGAAAGCTTATTATTTTGTATGGGCGAATAAAAACTTTCTGAAATTGTTTGAAATTTATACCATTGATGCTTCCGAATGTCTTCACATGATTAAACTTTTTCAAAACAAATCATTATTTTGTGGGATCACCAGCTCGAGTCGAGACTTAAGAAAAAAAAACTTTTGAGACTGGTACCAAAAAAAGTGAGCTCCAAAGTGCGTAACCTCCAAATTTGAAGCTCACTTACACATCCACATTTTACCAATCAAATTCAGTTCATGTTTTCCAATTTATAGCAGCAAGATTCCCTTTGACTAGAATCCTAGGTAGAGAATACTAGGTGATGTTGCATAGGTACATCACTTGGAATGCTAGTAGCATCGTCTGGAATGCTATTAGCACCGCTCAGGATGTTACTAGATAAACATGTAATACTACTAGCAGCCGAGGTAACACCTCTAGCACTCAAGATGATTTCTGTAGCATTCTAGATAATGCTAATAGTATCACAGGTGATGCTTGTAGCATTCCAGGTAATGTACATATGCAACATCACATAGTATTCTCCACCTAGGATTTCAATTGAAGGAAGTCTTACTACTATAAATCAGAAAACATAGACTGCATTTTGATTGGTAAAATGCGGATGCGTGAGTGAGTTCTAAATCTGGAGGTTTACATGTGGAGCTCACTTTTTTTGACCCAGAAAAGCGATGATTTTGCTCATCTTGAAGATCTTGTCTCTTACTTTTCTCTTTATTGAATGAATTGAAATTTAAGAAAAAAACAAAACGGTCTCGAAGCGCAAAGATACATTTATGGAACGGTTACAATTGCATATTCTTCGTAATCTGATATTGTCAATTAGCAATATTCATATTGCTTATGAGGATAAAACAACAAAACCTGATCATCCATTTTCATTTGGTATTACGCTTAATTACGTCAACTTTTACGTAGGGATTTCCTTCATCAATTCTATTTTATTATATAAAAATCAAATGTATTTTTTAATAGACAACAAATACTGAATGGGAGCCTATGGTATCGAAAGAAGAATCACCAATTGTGTACAAAGTAAGCTATTGATATCCAAACAAACACGTCAATTTTCGTTGATCTCTTTAGTTAGGAGAACTGAATGCGTTGTCCATTTATTGGAATTCTGACATCAAATCTCGATCAGAACTATCACAAGAGAATATTGTCGTACGTTTTTTGGACGTATTTTCATTTGATTTTTTCTAATTGTCTGTCAAATATAGGACATATTACAAGCAAAAATTGTCAAAAACGAGCAAACATCAAATTCCATGACTTACAGTAAGTTTTTGTCATGTTCTCTTGACCAAATACAAACTTTTTCTTAGTTCTTCAACCATTAAATATAAATATTAAATTAAAAATGGCTACAACACCTCGTGAACAAGATTACGTACGACCGGTATTCGATGCTAAAATCGATGTGCATCGTATTAATCTAAATATCAATCGCAATCAGGTTAGAAAGATAAATCATATTTAATTTTATTCGAATATTTGTTTAGTATTGTGATCTACTTGATCTATTCGAATTTCAAGATCATCTCAATTCACAATCGAAATTCATTAAATATTATGCAATGATCGAAAATGACGCTACGGATAAGCCAAGTTTACGACGGTGAGAGATGCGAAGAGTCAAAATTAACATTTCTTTTTTTTTTACTTTGATATTGATTTATTTCTCACAGATGGAAGTTTGCCTATACTGTTATTTTGAATGAAGAAGTCCGACCACGACTCGCTTCATACAAATGGGAAAATATCAAAGCCAATCGAGACCGATTTCGTGAGTATCACGAACTTTACTATCAGGAATTGACTGGTAATGCAAGCAAAACGCAAAAGCAACTTGCCGAAGTAACACAATATAATAATCTTTGTTTCAATACTTGCCTTTATATTCATATTTTAGGAACTAGAAAAAAAGATCGATGTATTCAATTTGATTTTTATTCGTCGAACTGTTGAAATTGAGGTAGAAATTTAATTATTTGTATTCGACATATTTCTTAACGATATTCTACAGATTAAAAAGAAGAAAGCAGAACAAAAACAAAAGAGTTGGTTGGACAAAATGACCAGTTGGTGGAGTAGTGATTCAGACGACGAGAATTCAGGTAGCTTCATCTAGCTGTGTGTTATTTTTTTTGGAAATGACCATTATTATCTTTTCACAGAATTCAATATTGACGGTGCAACAGCAGCTGAAGAAAAGAAAAAACTATACGATGCTATTGGTTATGCAGAAGATGATGGATCATTAGCTTATCCAGAAGAAGTAAAATACATCTTTGCTATAGCCATAGTATTGAACTATCAATGTTTGGATTTTAGTATGTTGACATTGATCTGTCAATTCGATTGACTATGCTCGAAATCAACGTCTGGTCGAATATCAATGAAAAAAATCTACAGTAAATAATACATTTTGATTTTCGCTAAAATCTCTCTAATATGAACATCTGTGAGAATATTCAAAAGTATACTCATTTTTTATTTTATTTCATTATTTCTTCGAAATAGTACTTCGTAATTGATAATTCAATTTTTTGAACGGTTCACTCACTGTGATCGTTTGAGCATGGTTACTAATGAACAATTTCGATTAGATTTCCTCTATCAGATTGATAATCCTATTGAACAAATTCTTCGATGTATCATTCTATTCATTAAAAAATGAAAATTCTAAATCGACCATGAAAGGCAAGTTAATTTTGTTTGAGTGCTTTGTATAAATGAAAGAGATAGACTTACAAGGTATGCACATTTGAAAGAAAAAAAAACATGCTCATAGTGAATGAGTTTTTCTGCAATCTTTGTTGAAAACAATCTTTCATCGTCGTCTATTTGGAACCTTTCATGTCGATGGAGAGTTGAGTTTATTGCAAGCCTAGCTGCGCAATTTCTTCTGAAAAGGTCAATGTACGCTTTGTCATCATTTCTTTATTGTAAATAAACAAATGAGCTGTTGCCTTACAGGTGAACGATCAATTTATCCGAGAACACTCCATCGAGGACTATTGATTTTTTTTCTGCGATGAATAGACTGCTTTAGAATGCACATTGTGTTTTGTTTTTCCCTCATTTATGCATACGTTGGTGAACATGTGTTCATTATATAGAAGTTTTCTTTGCTGAAGGGACCAAAAAAAGTGTTCATTGTTTAGAGTTAGGAGGTGTTCATTAAGGGAGGGGGGGAGAAGGGTTACTGTAATTGGAATTCTGTGTTCATGTACATAGTTGACGGCGAGTGTGAATTTCAGTAGAAAGAAAAAAGTGTTCACATTGGATAGATCGTTTTAGCTTCCGAGAAAGGAAAAGAAGTCGTTCACAGTTAAGAATACGGAAGTGTCCACTATAGAGAAGTCTATTTCCAGTAAAAAATCGCCCAATAGGTATTCAAATTATCCGCTATACAGCAGGTATGATTCGATTTCTAAAGAAAGGAAATTTCTTTTTTCTGTGGAAAACTGAGCGTTACTACTATACGAAGAGGTTCATATTAGGGAACCTTGACATTGGAAGAATATATTATATCTTGCTTCTTTCCTTGTAGATTCAAAGTAATTGCTTCTGCTGCTGCACCCAATGTTGGTTTGATATGTAAACGGCGCCCAGCCAAATCGGCTTTTCTGTAAGTTATTAATAATTCTATGTGTCTGTTTTTTCTGATTATTTTAATTCCACTAGTTTTATAATCGATTTGCACTCATTCGAAGTGTTTGGTGTTGGTACCGATACGAGCCAAATAAAGACGGCGAATGTCTATCGACCTGTTCTTGCTAAACCAGCAGATCAAATACAATTAGCACAAAAACATCTATTACATATTGAATATGAAACTAATCCATTGGATAGACCATCTGAAAATCGTATACAAGTCTTATTACAGTCGCTCGAAATTACTTATGATGCGGTACGATTTATAGAAAAAAAAATCTTCCTATGGATTTTACCAGTATTTTTCTTTTCATTTAGTTGACTATCAACAAACTTGTTGAATTTTTTCAACCTGATAGGAAGCGTGATTTGCAAAGGTAAAAACAATCGAATTACTATTTATTCATGTATGATTATTTGTCCGATTTTTTCAGCATAAAAGAAATTGCTTATTCGACATTCAATGATATTAAATATCGTACACGTTTTCTTTTTAATCATTATTTGAAAAATATTCAAGCATCAGATATTGATATTGATCTTCAATCATCTTTTTTTCTCTTACCAGAAGATGGTGTTTATCGACGGTAGGCTAAAAAAGAAAGGTTGTCTTAATTGAAAAGTAATCATCTTTGCTTTTTGTCTTGTAGTGATTGTCACATGCTTAGCTTGGATTTTGGTCATTTTACATTTAAAGGTGGTCCTAGTTACAATGACGAAGAAATAGAAATAGGAAAAACATATGAGAACATTATAGTATGGAAGATACTACAATTTTTCATGATTAAATCGTGTCTTTTCTAGAATATTGATGATCCGCACAAATCATCATACTTTCCATTAAAACTCAGATTGGAGAACATCCGATTACTCTATATCGATCCAAGTAAAATTTTCATCATGTTTCTTGACTTCGTTATATCTATATCTGCTTCTGTTTTAGACGACGATTGGCAAGATGTACGCACTCAACACGATTCTTCAATGAATATAATCAAGCCAATCACAGTCTTTGTCAATATACACAAATATATTTACTCGGAAAATAGTGTATTACCGACGTACGTAATCTTAATTAGTTTTCTAATACTTGATAGAACTGATAAGAAAAGATATTAACTCCGAAGAAATTTTGAAAATAGAGTTCATATAACATTTTTTTGTTGATCTCTCAATTGTCTCAGCAACATTTTCACTTTTAGATTTTACAGCAAAATCTAGTGAAGAATGCGATTGTGAACTTTCGATTTCGAATGAGTTTCATATATCTTAGGATATACAATAGTTTGTATATGTCAATACTTGACAAGATATTTAAGTTTTTTTCTTTTGTATCACTCTGAATTTCTAAGTACTGCTCTATATTTTCTTGCACTGGAGGTGTTCCGTCGAGCTTTTTTAGTATTTTCAAGTGTATGAAGTATTTCAAAATTTACAAAAAAAAATTGATTCAAATTAGCTGGTTTTCGCTCTTACAAAAAGCTTTCAATGCAATCCCTATGTGAAACATGATCGAGGCACTTTAATCGTATACGAAGATGCTTCTTATATTAATTACGATTCTTGATAAGGTAAAAGCAATATTAATGTCTGAGTTTTTATCAGAAGAATAAAGGCTTGGAATTCTTCTTTATTACTAGATAAAAACACAAACTCATTTGCTTAAAACACAGTGAAGATATTCAAATTTGTTTTTTGTATAATGACTTGTGTGTTACACTCTATATGATCAAAATTGAGATAGACGGAAAAGTTAATTAGAGTTTATGTTTGGTACATCAAATTCATGCTTTTACGAGACATTTATTGACTTGGTTAGAAAAAACGAGTTTGGGATTTTTGGATTTTCAAAATTTCTAAGTAATGTTCATCGGATATTGATAATTCACGTGGTCCTAAAATGATTGAATGTCGACTTGTGCATTATAATCGAAAAACTTCAACACTGTCATTGTGGCACTATAATATGTAACATGATGAAATTATTTAAACTAGAAAACAAGATTTCTTGCCCCGTTCACATCATGGTCGATCGTCGGAGCAACATTTTAAAATGTTTAATCAGTCTATGAGTGGAGCCAAAAAACCACGAAAAACGATATCCTCCAGTTCCAAAAAGTCTTTTACAATTCAAAATGTTCGACAAATGCCAGCATGTTTGCTATTTTCTGAGGGATAGTTTTTTTTTCGCTATAAACTCTAGCACTCATTACTACATAGTTATGTTTCAGAAATGACAGGGGAAAAAAGTACAACGTCACAAAAGACAAGCAATAGCTTTTAGAACGCGTTGCGAACACATAGACAGTGAGACACGCAAACATATACATAAACGATTTGATTTTTGTTTAGCAGACTTTAGGTTATTCAGTCTAAGAAAGAAAGAATCTTCCAAAATTCATCTGAACTGAAACTCATTTTTCATCTGTGAATCGATGTTAGGAGTATGGCAATTTAGAGAGGTTCTTTTCTAATATATCTCATATGGAATACTAGTTTTCTGCGAGAATGATTTCTCAGAGGCAAATTGTGATTGTATGTTAGAGGAGTAGAAGTTTGGAATGGTTCATCTAGTTTCCAAAATATTTAAGTATTGATGACGATAGAACTGTTAAAGTTCTGATCTCAACGTCTCAGTAATTTTGAAAAATTTCTTTTAATTTTTATTGCTAGTTGGAAACTCGATGTACAAGTTTCAGCTATCGATGCTCGAGTGTCTGATGCACATATTTTCGGAATTATCCAACTATTTCAATCCATTCAATTTCCTGAATTGAAAGAAGAATCAGTTGAAACTGAAACATTTGTGGAGGTTAGTAATAGTCTTTTTTTTTGTTTAATTATTGATTTGATATCATTTGTGATTGCCGAACTACAACAGTCGACAACATTCGATGTCGCTGTGCCTTGTAAAAATACAAAAAAAATATTGGAAACAGTAGAAAATATGACACCAGTACAGAAAATCTTACAGGAAGCAGAAAGTGCCGAAGCAGAAGAGAAAACAAACGACCAAATACCAAAAGAGATCGTCAAGAAGAAAGTCGATGTACAAGATCAAATTATAGAACTCGAAGCTACTTTTGAACTTCCACAAGTAAGTTAAATATTTCTGAAGTTTTACATAATCCAGAATCATTTATAGATTCTTATACGCATTGACGAATCTTTATCCAATATATCCAACGATACTCACCCATTTATGCGTATTTCACTTCTATCAATTGTTGCTCGAGCAAGAATGAAAACATTCGACATCGATTTCAATGTATCGCTTACAGATTTTATTATTGTTCATGAACGATTTATTACCACCAATAATGATCGACTTTGTTTAATTTCTATGGAGCGAACTCATGACCGAGTAAATGTTAAATTAATCAGGATCAATGGCTTACTCACAGCACCTGAAAATCCAATGTTTGCATCTGCTCCTTACAATAGTATTGAAAATCAGATACGTGTGCATATCGGCAAACCTATTCTCATGCTACAATTGGAACCACTTCTGTCCATTGTTCAATTTAAAAAATGATCTCATGGAAAAGGTAGTAAAAGAACAACATCGTTTACCTCATAAAACAACGGCAAAGAAACGAGTTGCATCAAAACCGAAGCGTAAAAATATCGTAAAGAGTGATTCGACATCAGTAATGCCGACATTTCAAATCGAAGTTGATTTGAAAGGATTACGTGCGATAATTGGATTCGAACTCTTCCAAGTACTTGATATTCAAAGTCAAGGTTTTCGTGCTCATATATTGAATTCAACTGAAAAAACATCGGCTTATTTAGTCTTTACTGATTTGTATGTCTTCGATCCTAATCCAAAAGCACGCTATCGTCATATTATCTCGCAGCAAGGTATTGATAAGCAATTGTTACGTATTGATTTTACTCGGCTCAATTATCCGAAAAATGACGAGAAAACACTCAACGATATCGATTGTGATGTCAAAATACAATTGACTAAACTACATATGGTCCTTCTCTACAAACATATGGACCTCATTTTGAACTTGCTCAATGCATTCCAAACGAAAAAAACTGAACATGATGTTTCTTCAAATCAGCCAAGTACTGTCTTTGAAACTATGGAATATTTTCAAAAACAAGCACGTAAACTTCGTCTCGATGTCATGCTCAATGCACCGAGTATACTCATTCCAACAAGTTCCTATTCGAACGAAGGACTTTTTATTGATTTGGGTCAATTGACAATGCAGACGAAATTTACTGATGATCCAAATCGTTCACTTGTCGAGCAACAAGTAATAGTCATGAATAATTTACTTGCAAGTCGAGTTAAACTTGGCAAAACCAATGAAATTTTCGGTAGCATCAGTCTACTTGAATGTTCAGAACTTAGTGCATTGATTGACCGTCTGTTATATCCGGAAAAGGTTCAACATGAACCAGAAATTTCTATTGTAGTCAATTGGGATAGTATTCAATTTACATTAGCAAAAGATGATTATGCAACTTTGATGAAAATATTTAAGAAAAATTTTTCGGAGAAGTTTTACCACAAGATATCGAAGCCTGCTGTTCAAGAGCAGTATGAGTACAGACGAATGAGTCAAAGCGGAGTGATTGTCACAAAGAAAAAAGAAGATAATATAAATCGTAATAAGATCTCGAAAAAAATTCATTTCAATGCTGAAATAAAAAAGATTGCTATAACACTCTATCTTGATGAATCAAACGTAATCACTCGACACGAATCGCGTAATGAAAATTCAAAATTTTTCGATTTACAACTTAAAATGCTCAAAGCTCAGTTTCGACAATTGTCTGATTCGAGTTATGCTGGTCAAGCACAAATACAAGAACTCATATTGGATGATCTACGCGTTACAAATAGATCCAATAAAGTTACACACATGATCAATCGAAGTTTTAATGTCGATCCAAATGTACCAATGTTCACAGTTACTCTCGAATATAAAACAAATAATAAACAAAATTCTATGGGTGTTCGACAAAGTAAGTAAACAAAGTTGATAATTCTTACTTTTATAATCATTTGTGTTTATTAGTCATTGCTCAACTAGAGAGTTTTTACATTTGCATGAGTCCAGACTACTTTATGGCATTACAAGACTTTTTCATTTCGAGTTTATCATCAACCGATGAGAAAAAATCGAATCTTTCAATTATGTATTCCAAAACATCATCTAATATTGACAATAATCTGCCACTGCCAGCAAAACCCATACCAAAATCTCGTCGATCAAACAAATCAATATCCAGCGGTAGATCAAGATTCTCGTCACGTTCTTCTCAGAGACTGTCAGACACTCTCTGTATGTCTTCTCTTCATACTTTTTCTTCTTCTCATCAAACTTGAATAATCTATTTTAGCTGTATCCAAGACTGATGGTTCTCTTCATACTAAAGTTAAAATCATTATCAAAACTCCGAAAATTATTTTACTCGAAGATCAATATAATAAAAATTCGAACTGTTTTGTACTCGATGTAAGTGAATAAAAAAACAAAAAAAGAAAATATTTTCAAAAGAACAATCAATTTGTGGATATAATATTTATTTAGTTTGCCTCTAAGATACATATAGATATGGTAAATGATTATATGACAATGTATGGTCTGCTAAAAGATTTGACTATTTATGGTTCAAATTTTGCTGCATTGAAAAATTCGAAAATCGAATATCGCGTAAGAATAATATTTCTTTCATTTCGATAATTCCTATTTCTGTATTGAAAGGTTTTACAACCGGTTGATATCGATCTTATTTTAATTTTGGACTTGGAACAGCAACATATCAATGTACGCATCGGGGATATTGGTATTCAAATCCCGCCGGCGGCAGTTCATACAGTTCTTAATATGATAAACTCAATGGGTGAACTTCAAGTAATCGAATATACATTGTTGCTTTCTGAAATATAAATACTCATTTTTTTTTAGACTACTGCTCGAAATGAAACGGAAAAAATCAATTCGAAAGGAATTTTTGATCCAAAACCATTCAAAGATGCAAGTTTTTGGTTTATCAAAGGTTTGTTGAATAATTCAGAGCAATTTCTATTTTTTTTTTGTTTTCATAGATTACGAAATGAAACAGGAATTCATCGAACAGAGGGATGTTTTGGAATTAACTACTGGCACTCCTTCACATAAAAAAGCTACTATTGAAGAAGCAAACAAACGAAAGGAAATCGAAGAGCAATTTCAAACTCGAAATATTCGCTCACAACACGTTTGGAAACAAAAAAAAAATTTATAAACTTAATCCTATTCGAATATTTTTATTTTTAGCTTATTTTGAATTTGAATATGATCGAAATTAAACTTGAACTTGGTACAGGTTCAGCAACTAAACCAGTGATAGCTATGTGTCTTTCGAATCTATTTGTTGGCGTGAAAAATTGGTCGAGTGATGTATATCAATGAATTTAGCTGAATACGATCTCATGTCTCTTTCGTTTTCTATTCAGATAAGTATTTCTTCTCAAATCCATATTGAATTAGCATTATTCAATGATAATTTACTTTCGTGGGAGCCATTGATTGAACCAGTTATCGATAAGAGTGGTGAGGTTGTCTGTCCATGGTGTATTACATGTTCAACTTCAATAGTAAGTTACTTTATTATTTGATTTTGCTGAACGATTCGTCGAAGTTTTTTTTTCTTTTCTTAGCATGAAGACGAAGAAGAAGTAGTAGAAAATGACGACGAGGTAAATACGAGCATGAATATACTGTATTTCTTTATTTTGTTACTGATCAAAGGCTATACTTTATTGAACACTAACTTACTCTTATACACAAGATTTCAAACAAGAAGAAAATATTGAATGAGTGATCATAACAAATGAGATATTTTTATTATATCTTCTATAAAGAATTGAATAATGCTTCAAAAGCTATGTCCTAAGCTCATTCAATAAAGAATTTATGACTCTATGAAATAGTAGAGTTTGCTTTTAAAATGAGTTTTTCTTGTCGATGAAAGAATCAAAAGGTTGACAATTATTCAATGTATCCAAAGATTACGTCTCATAATCTTGGAGAGAGAAACTCTTAAGAAAAAAAACCTAGTTGCGAAAGAAACTATTGAAAAACAAGAGGTAATTGATTTCTGATTCGGCAGCATCGTTTGTTGGGAACGAAGATCCACGATTTACTGTATTCAGCTATATAATTTTTCTATCAACACTGTTTTTTTCAGTCGCGATTCTTGCTCGATGAGCCGAATTCACCAATAAATACTGTAAAATACAAAGATGGTACAAAGATTTTGGATGCTAAACATGTTATTTATATTCGAGCTGATCATCCACTCAACATCACTGTGACAAAGACAATGTTGAATCTTGCTCAACGTCTTTCAACTACGTTTAAAGATGCTTATAATAAACGGCTACTTTCGGATGAAGATGATGATAAATCATTGTTATCAATACACAACATGACGGGATATGATGTTTACATTGAGAACATAACCGGTGTTAAGGTAGATCAATCGATTGTTAAATTAAATAATAATTATTCGCATATATTTTATTTCGAAGTTTCTCGACGATAAGAAATTCGATACTCCAATCCATCTCAAACATCTTGATTCAATTCCATTGACAGTACCTGGTGAACGATTATCGGCAACACATATTCCGGCTATATCCGAACAAATGATTAATAGAAAACAAGAATTTTCTGTTAAAGTAATATGGTTTCACATTTTTTAAATGGGATTTTATTGAAATATGTGTGCTACTTAGATCGACAATGAAGTCAAAACAATAGATATCAATCAAACATGGAGGCGAGTGTTTTACTTGGATTCTTCGCTTATTCCAAACTGGCCTGTTCAACTACTTTGTGATTCACAATTATATAACGATCGTCGACGAATAGTTCTCAGTTCAATCATCAAAGTAAACTTCGGTTCTTGAATTCACTATCGATTTGTTTCACTTTTATTTTGCTCTCTTAAGATATTCAATGGAGCTACAATGACGCTGAAACTTTTGGATGTCGATTCAATTCAAGTGAGAACATATCGTGAAGTAGCTCGTATCGAACCTAATGGAGAACTGTATCTTCCACTTGAGCTACTTTATATGCGCATGAATCCACGTCTATTTATTAGTATTGATGAGTAAGATTTTATTCTCTTTTCTGTATTCATAATGATAGATTTTATGAAGAGCTAAGTCTACGGATGGTGTCCAGGATTTCATTTTGTTCGACTGGGCAATCGCATCCTCTGCCGATCGTGTATTGGGGATGAAAAATGGCAAAGATGCTAATCTTGTCGTATGTTTTTCGATTATCGAATTGTAGGCTTGTTTTCACAAGAATGCATTTTTTAGTTTTATAAAGAATCGAAAGAAGCTTATTCAGAGAATACTGATGAACCTATTCGAACTTCATTTAACATCTATATCCAACTGGCTCTTCATCTCATTAATCTTTTAACGGTCGATGTAGAGTGTTGGATTGACGTAAGTAGAATAGACTTTTGTTTATTGACTTTGAATTTTAAACATGAACTAGAATAAAACATAGTCCTACACATTGCTTCCTCGAAACTAGTTCGAATGTGAAGGTTGTATGGTTTCACCAAAAATGATCATCATTAGTGTACTTATTTCGAAGACCTTACGACTGTAATTCTCACTATCAACACTATTCAAAAAGAAATGAACATCTTATATCGACAGTAAAAGTAATTGTTAGGCTCACTAAGAGAAATACCTTTTTGTATGACATCCGGAGGCATAGTTCTGGTCGATTCGATGTAGCACTTTCAAAATTAACTACTATCGGCGCCAGAATTCAAGGCAGTCGGTTGCTTTTTGAATAACTCTTGATAGGAACAAGATAGAGACCTGCGGTTTTCAACATTTGATAGCCAAGACCCAAGAGCATATTTTTATAAGCAAAACCTTTTCTGAGAAAAAGTGCGAAGTTTGGTTTTCCAGAGGATCTTTGAAAAACCACGCTGGCGTTTTGAAAATTGTCATAGAAGTCTATTGATTTTTTTATATATTCGGAATCAGCATGAAAAACTGCGTCGACTCATATATTTTTCTAGTCTTTTAACAAAGTTTTTTTTTCGCCGAAAAATTCGTCCTTCGTCATCTTTTCACTGAATTCATTTATTGATGCGGTCCTGAGGATGACTAGAGGTAAATTTTCGACGAAAAACAAAATTCGTTAATAGACTAGAAAAATATATGAGCCGACACAGTTTTTCATGCTGATTCCGAATATGTAAAAAAATCAATAGACTTTTATGACAATTTTCAAAACGCCAGCGTGGTTTTTCAAAGATCCTCTGAAAAACCAAACTTCGGACTTTTTCTCAGAAAAGTTTTTGCTTATAAAAATATGCTCTTGGGTCTTGGCTATCAAACGGTGACAACCGCAGGTCTCTATCTTGTTCCTATCAAGAGTTATTCAAAAAGCAACCGACTGCCTTGAATTCTGGCGCCGATAGTAGTATAGATTCAGATTCATAATCATGCTGATGTAAAAGTCGTTCAAAAACATTGTTATAATCAGTTATATTCCTTCACATCAGCAAAGTATACACAAGTGAAATAACTTGATATAAATAATTGATAATAATTTCTTGGACATATCTCAATAAGCGAACTTTATCCAACGAAGACGAAAAAAGATGTATATATACATCAAAAGTACCATTCAGGAGTCAGTATTTACATTCCTTTAAAATCGCAGGATTTGAATCACATGTAGAAATAACTATAGAATGGATCTTCAAAAAGAAGAAAATCTTCACTGCTATCCATTTCTCACAGTATTAAAAGTAAATGACCATTTTGACAACGTGGCATTAGTTGTCAATTGTCTGTAGTAATGCTTTACTTGTAGGCAAACCTAGGAGCCATGCGAGGATCCAAACATTGAGGGAATGTAAGGCTGGATATAGAAAATTTTGTCAGAAAGATAGTATAAAATTCTCGATTATTGTAGAGGTATACACTCTACACATCCCACCTTCGCAGTCCTTAGGTAGACCACTAGTAATATTAACTAGAGTTACGCGTAATAAATAGAATAATATCGTACTACTTCCTTCATCTGATGCTATATCTTGGTATTTTATTTTATTTTTGAGTCGAACGATGTGAAGTCGATTTGTCTTACGTACATGAGAATGCTCAGATGGTTCTTTAGTTAATCATTCGATCTTGATATTCATTTCATGATGATCAAAATAATCAGAGATGTTCTTCGTGGCTGAAAAATCTGCTGCTGCCGCGCCGCGATGACTTATTTAAAAAAGTTGCCACGTCAATGCAGCGATGAATTGTAAAATAAACTTGCCGCTGCCGCGATGGTTTTCAAAAATGTATTTCGCATTTCACTGCTGCAACTGCATTGAATCAGAAATATTGGTTCTACTCCATCAGATTCATTCGATCTCTAAGTATTTCATTTGTAAGCACGGAAATCCTATCAAATTCATGCAGTTTTTCAATGTCCTCGAAAAAAAAATGCTGCCGCTGCCGCGCCGTCATGGGCGTATCTGACAATAATAAGTATAGGCAAAGTTCAAAGATCAGAATTAATGAGTTATATATATTTCTATAGTTTCGATTTTTACAACTAAATACAGGTTTATCTTCTTTTATTCGATGTTGAGTGTACAAATATCTTGAATAGAAGATCATTAGATTTCCTCGAAAGCTCGAATTTGCACGAGATGATAATAACTACGAACACATGTGGTGAAATGACAAAGAAAATTAATCTTGATAAATATGTAGATTAGAGAAAAGTGATATATTTATTATTCGTTAGTCCTTTTAAATCATGATAATTAGTTAGACACGACGGTAGATATTTACACGATATCTAGTATAAATAACTAGAAGTTAATTTTAGTAAAAATATAAGATGAAATGTAATTGGAATAGATTGTGAAGGAAGAATTGTAGGAGACGAAATTTCATATATCGACATAAAAGATCACCGCCATATGAAACTTCGATATTTTTCATCAATCATCGATTCATTCTTGTATGCATTTATTTTCAATTATCTATCTTACATTTAGAGCGTCGAACAAGTCGAACTGAAACCAAGTCGTCTGTATCATAGCGTATCGGGTAGCAAAAAATCCGTGCTGACATTTGTGGTATGTTTTTTCACAAAGAATCTTTCTCAAGTATTTAATATCTACTTAAATAAACGTTCTGCAGTCATGACATTACTTTCTCAAAATACTTGACAAGATCCGTGACAATTCTTTTGCATTGTCTCAGCTTAAAAATATCAAATGATTTCTGCTTTAGTTTCTTCTTCGAGTTAGATCTTGTCGGACGGCCTAACCAACAATGTTTAGTAGGATACTGATGTCCGAAATCTATTCAAATGAATGCCAATCTTGATCCTAGAGTACGCCAAGATTTTAAACTACTAAATTCAGTAGTGATCATTATATAGGAATGTCACAAGTACTGAATTCTTTGCCAGCAGCATTATAGTAATGATTTAATTTGATTGTTCGAGTATAATAGTAACAAGGAGTCGTATTAGATTTATGAATATTAGATCAGACTACAGTAGAACTCGTAATCAGAAAGATGTCTGAGTACCCTCAACTGTCCGATTGAGTAAAATAACCTGAAAAAAGCATAACGATCTATATATATATATATCCAGAGTCTTAACATAATTCTTGACTTAAGATCTTTCTACCATAAACCTATGTTGGATACAAAAGAACCAACAGGTCTAACGTTTTACGAGGGTGGGTGTTTTGAAGATATGCGAAAGTATGTAACGTACATTTACTGATACATGCTAGTTATACTCTCCATGCCGCAAACCTACAGAAAAGCTGAAAATAACTTGAGTAACTAAGTTTTGCAAATTATCTACTGGACTAAGGTTTTCAAGGAAGTTGCTATAAGTTCATCAGATGTTATCCTAAGACCAACGACTTTCAGTGCATTCAAAAGTACGAAACTTGAGCTAAACAAACGTATTTGATAATATGAAATCGTTAGTCTGGACAAAGAATTGATTTTTTTTTGATAAACATCACTTAAAGAATGTTTGTTAATTTCTTGACTTGCAATCGGATGAAGCTCTGAAATACTCGACCAACTTTGTCTTTCTGAAATCGATCATCTTGAATTATGACGAATGTTTCATGAGTTTGATTGCGAACATATTCGTCTTTTATCAGATTAATTCAAAACATTAATCACATAGCAAGAGCAATTCTCGTCAGAATTCACTGTCTCATGTAGAAGAAAATATTTTGAGAAAATTTGAAGAACTATCAGATCTATTTATAACAATCAATTCAAATCAAAACTCAGCTATTCATTTTTTTAAGAAACGTATACCTAAAATTGCTATAGTTCGAGAAGGCCGACTTAAAAATTTCCATTCCAATAAATCTTCTTCTATTCTTTCTATATTATATCAAACAAGGAAAACCATATTGTAAAAGACGTGAAATATTTGTGAACGTTCTTAGATTTCAATTTCTTCTCTTGCTAATGTTTTATTCATTAGATTCCATGCTATAACAATGCTAAATGGATATCGGAACCGATTGACTTGAAAATTAAAAGCAACAATAGTCAAAACGACTATCCTGTCATATTTTTTAATGTGAACACGCAAGAAAAATTGGTATTGAATTAGATTCACCTGTTCATTTTTTAATTGCGTCAAATTTTCTTCTAGAAATTGCTCTTGCGTGTGCAAACATATCGAGAATCTTATCGTGCTTCATTGTATTCTCCGTATTGGATTGTCAATTGCACTGATTTGAAGTTTGAATTCAAGGTATGTCACTATCTTATTTAGTTGAGCCATTCTTTTTCTTCCTTTAGGTCGAAGGTGAAAAGACACTGATCGAGGTTGTTGATCTACCATTTTACGTATGTCCGAGTAATTTTGACAAAAAGAAAAAAAAAGTAAATTAGTCAAACAATTTCAAACAAAATACCACTAACAGATATTTCGGTATTTTAGGGTCAGATACGTCTTTTCAGCCTGGAAGAAGATGCTACACTGTCAGAATGGTCTGAAAGCTTTTCACTTGACGTAATCAAAAGTACAGGAATAGCTGCCTGCAAAGTATCCAATGATAGAACCTATATGGTAAAAAAAATCATTGAAAATCATCTCGAACAATTTTTTTTTCGAATTATGAAATAATAGGTCTGTATTGATATTGTGACTTCTTCATTTGGTATGACGAAAATTCTTACGTTGGCACCATCTACCATTGCCATCAATAAATCAACCGTATGATCTGTTTTTCTCTATGACACATACGTTTTCTCATATTTGAAACCTAGATTGAAATTGAAGTTGCTGAAACATTATCGCAAACAGAAGAAGAATATTGGAGATCGGTAAACCCCGAAGGGGTGAGTTTCTCTTCAGTAAAATATTCATCCTTCATCACAGACATCCATGTTACAGATTATTCCATTTTGGCCACGTAATATGCAAGATGGCGTCATGCGTGTTCGTTATACACATAATCGAATATCATCGACTGCATTTGTATTCAATCAAAAACATCGAACATTGCTGCGTATGGATGACGAAGAGCGTCCGGCACTTCAAGTTGAAATTATTGCGACTGATTTCGATGGGTTTCGTATCGTTTTTGGCGATTACACGATCGGCGATTCGCCTGTTTTATTAGTCAACTGTTTGAAACATCTGCCAATTGCATTGAGTCAAGCAGAAGATGTGTAAGTTTTTCATTTCTCTTTTTTTCTAAAAAAAAACAAATTTGTTAGAGTAGAAGAACGCAAGTCCTGCGACCACTACATTATGTCTATTATACATGGATTGATCCGTTGAAACCACAAGCATTAGTCATTGCATGTCTTGATCACAATGCATCAATCGAACTTAACGTAAGTCAATTCGAGTAGAGATTATTTTAGAAGTCACTAAAATAGGCAAAGAAAACAACATCACTTCACCAGTGTCCATGATAAAGCTTCTTCGAATCTAAGGGATCTTAAACAGATGCACGGTACGAACATTTTTCTTCAGGCTTGGAAAAAGCGCAAATCTTTGTGATATTATACACTATTTCTAAAGTCGAATGTTATTCTTACAAGCCATAGATGGAACCGATACCGGTTTAACTTTTTCAGTTTTCTCTTCTTTTCATCGAGACTCTTGCAAAATTCTTATTGGCTCTAATTGCTATTGTTCATTAAATATACAAGGAAGTGTTGTTGGAATTTCATGAAAACAAATTATACAAAAACACTTTAATACGTTCAATATAAACAATTCTATAATTTTTTGTTGTATACATTTAATCATAGCTGGAATTAGTAATAGCGATCTAGTGCTGGTACCGACTTTAAGCCAATCGGTCTATCAGTTCGACACCAGTCTACCAGTAGACCGGTCAAACCGGTATACCGATCGAACCTGTCCGGTCTGATTTCTCCAGACCGGTACCAGTTGTCAAAAAACCGGACTAGTTCTATCTATATTACGAGCTATTCAATGCCTGATATGATTCGTTTCCTTTTTAGCCACTTTGTGGTATCTTCGAAATAAACGATCTACAAACTGTGTACTATGCAGTATTTCAAGACGGTCCTCAAACAGTATTACTCTTCGCTGAAGAAATAGATCTTATTGGAGCGGTCACAAATGTACGTTCAATATGTATTTCTTCTTCACACTAACCTATATAATTGATTCTCACTTCAGATACCGTCATTGGGTGAATCCATGAATAAACATATACAAATTGGCATTCATGATATTGGCATTGCAATTATCGATGATATCACTCGAAACGACTTGTTTTATATCAGTATAAACAAAAGTAAAAAGATCTGGATAGAGACAAGCAAGTCACATATGAGACCACTTCCGCTCGAGCTCAATAAAAATTTGGATGAGCATTACGAATCGTACATCAAACATCGATATGCTCATCCGAATGATGAAGAAATTGCAAACAAGAAATATCGCGTTGACGAAAATCGCGTAAGAATTTTTCGTCTGATCATATAATAGCATGTTAATCGATCTACGATTAGGATGTCTTTTTCCATGGAGATACTGCTGAATTGACTGACCATCAAGGCCATCGAGTACGCGTTAAACGACAACCACTTGATGGGTTCTGGATTGGATTTGCCTGGTCGACGAGCAATGCTGCACTGCATGTGCGCATTAATCGTGTACAAATTGACAATGAACATGAATTCACTCTGTTTCCGGTTGTTCTTAATCCAATTGTTTCTAAAGCAGCAGGCACCGATATACGTATGTTTCATTTTCGATCAATAGTCATATAGCGACAAGAACTTCTGTTTGTCTATAGCTGGAAAACCGTTCATTGAATTAAGTATGTTCAAAACAACAATAGCACGATCGAATACTACACATATCAAGTAAGTCATATTTTAGCCAATGATTACATGAAACAAATTGAATTGAATTGTCGTTCAGATACTTAAAATTGCTTGTTCAAGAATTCGTCTTTTGTGCTGATCAGACTTTAATCATGTCGATTCTCACATTCATAAAATCAGAAGAGGTTTATTTTGTTTTTCTTCTCGTAATATCTCTAAAACTAATCTGAAATTCGTAGGTTGCAGCAGCGCCTACAATTAATATGGACTCAGATCTAAAACGTATTCATAAGCCACTTCAAGCGATTACTGAAGCTCAATCAAGTAGTCAACCGGCTGAGCCCAAACTGTACTTTGACAATATGCATTTGTCTCCGCTCAAGGTAAGCGATTTCATCGCTCATTTCTCACAGAGAATATTTCAAAGTACTAAAATGATTTTTTGATCGAGACTATGTTCATTCTATCAGTCTCGGTCAATGATTAAAATGTCTGAAATATTTTGGCTTTTTGAGACTTTGTTCTTAAGATATCGAATATTTAATGAATTTCAAAAAAATCATGTTTTCCTTCAGATCAACTTAAATATTGAATTTCGAATTTCGACTTGAACCTGCATATAAATAAAATATTCAATGGGACTAGTTCATTGTGAAAATTTCACTTATTTTTGTATCTCTTATCCTGAAGTATGAACATTGAACCCTTAAGTATGGTTATGTGGAGTCGAAATAACACTGTTTGCTTAATTTATAATTTCGGCATGGAATATTGTCGAAGTTATGACTTAGACACAGAATTTTGTTGAAGGCATTGTAGGTACACTAAACAGTTAATAACTAATTGATTGAAAGTGCTGATACGGAAAAATATCATCCAAATGAAAGTTACAACTGAGTAACACATACTTTCATTTGATAGTAATATGAAAGTGAAAAAATACTAAGCAATGAGAGATATATTTTTATCAAAAGCATTGGTGTCTTTTATTCAATCCTATTGAGGACCATTTCAACAGTACCCTAGTCGAACATCTTGTAAGCAACATCTTGACTAAGATATAAGATACAGAAATGTTAATAGATCTTGAAAATTTAGGTACAAGAAAATCATATTACTTTATACGAAGATCTGTACTTAGATCTTGGGCACAGATGAACTGATAAGGTTAAGACATCAAAATGTAACATTTCTTACTCAAGATCTTTATTTAGTGGTAGTTACTAAATATTATTTTGTCATTGCTTGAAACTAGATTGTGTCTTATTGTCCAAAAAAAACGATCTTCATTCATGGATGCTCATCAGAGCGAGGATTTCGAAATTTTGTGAATTAAATACCAGCCTCTAACTTGCTTTGTTGTGCTTCTAACAGAAATATGACTTCAGAATCAAATTTAGTGTGAAGTTTTACATCAAATAGACTGTTTTAGAAGTTCTTAGTGGCATCTATAAATGAGTTCTAGTCATCGCTTTCGGAAGATATGTATTTCAGTCAAGATCTTATAAATCTGTACGCAAGATGTAATTACAGATCTTGGTACAAGATAATGTGATGATCTTGTACCTAAATTTTCAAGACCTGTTAACTCTTCTGTACCTTGTATCTTGGGCAAGATCTTGCTTGCAAGATGTTCGACTAAGATATAGATTTAATAAATTGAGGTATTGATATTTCAGAATGGAGCACTCATGATTATTCAATATTTGAGTTCATTTCCTGGAGATGTCTGTCAATGTAGAATTTTGTAATGAAAACAATTGTTATACAGTTCTTTTTGCATATAATATTTCAATATGATGAGAGAATCATCTGACAGGGCATTTTTCAATTTCAAGACTTTAGTATTCATATAATCTTTCTATTTTTCTTTTGAAAAATACGTCCATCTATTGATAATTTTGTATGCAAGTTGAATTATCTATTCGTAAATAATTCAGCAGTTGACTTAGATCAGAACATGTCTATTTTCAACTAGATGTACGATTGTTTCTCAATGTAGAAGACACTAATCAAGATGTTGATGAATGAAGATGCATTATGACTCAGAAACGTCTAAGTTGAAGTTTGTTTTTTCGTGGATTCATTTTTTTGTAGGGTTACTAAAATGAAACAGTTAATTCTGAAAGCATCGTTCTATTTTTTTTATTTTTCAGTATAGTTTTTCACTGTCGTATTATGTTGTAATGGAATTATATTGTTTCAGTTACAAACAAGGAAGAAACAACATACTCCTGAATTGCCATATTCCTTCGTGCTCTCCGATACTCCTCAATGAGAAACAGAGGACTTTATGATTTTTATAACATACAAATCAGCTCGTAGCTCTTTGACTTTTTCAAATTTTCTTGTACTCATGAAAATAATTTTGGTATGTTTGACGGATTCATAGAGTTTGCAGGACTTCCCTGATTGTTCTTGAATTTTTACGAGTTAATCCCTCTTAGCCCATTTCATTAAATTCTAGTGGATTTTTTGAAGTTGTGTCTATACTGTAATGGACTCTGTGAAGTCCATTAGTATTAGTAATTTGTTATATTGTTTTTGAAAGATGCCCCACAGTCTACGAGTATGGTTTGATTCAGAATTTTAATGTTACTACCTAGGTTTTCTAACTTAACTCTACCTGTGTCAAGTCAGGTATGCAATTGTAAAATACATCAAAGCACAAAGTTTATAGATCAAAGAAAACAAATAATAGTCCTACAATGTACATACATGGGATCTTCTGATCTATTCTCAGGTACTCAATAGTACTTCTGCTCTTGATTTATGATATTTTTCTCTTGAAAAACATACAAACAAACTGAATAGAATAGTTATTCAATGAAGAATCAGAGTGTCATTTTTTATCGGTTTATATATCATTTTGTCGAATTAATCTGATCATCTATTGTGTAAAGACATTAATGGTTCAACAATCATGCATAATAGGATACACCGCAAGCATGAATAGTAGCATTAGAGCGTAACAACAAAAAGTAAAGAAGTGTCACACCCAAAACGGCAAGATTTTATTGACTTTTCGTATTTCCTATATACTATCTGGAAGCATCAAAGTCTGTAAGCGGATGGGGCTGAAAACTCTCGGATACAAACTTTTTATACGGAGTTTCACAAGTTACGACATTTGTATTTTGTCGAATGAGATAGATTATTTTACCAATATTAGCTTGGTTAATAGATGTTCAAATGAATCTTTTCATCTTTTACTCTTGGCTTTCATATGCATAATCGGTTGTTTTCACTCGATAGATTCACGTTAGCTTTTCAATGCATGGCGCGGACGAAGACGAACAATTACTAGCCGAATACCCATTGGTCGACTTCTTGCTGCAGATGTTGAATTTAGCAGAAGTACAAGATGTGATTTTAAAGTATGTGTATATATTTACGAAAAGATTAATTCAATTTCTATCCACACACATATAGATTGAACTACTTCGAACGAAAAAACGATCAATTCACAATAGCGAAAGTGGTTGAAGAGGTCGAGAATCATTATCAAAATCAATTGATGAGACAACTACATGTAGTTGTTCTCGGTCTGGACGTACTTGGAAATCCATTCGGTCTTATGCGTGGAGTTGCGGAAGGTGTGGAATCATTCTTTTACGAACCGTACAAGGCAAGGCTTAACAAATCTTTTCTTTCTAGTTAAATCCTATATTTCTTTCAGGGTGCTATGGAAGGTCCAGTAGAATTCATCGAAGGAATAGCAATTGGCACTCAAAATTTGGTTGCTTCCGCCGTTGGTGGAGTTGCTGGAGCTACTTCGAAGATTACCGGTGTGGCTAGCAAAGGTTTGGCAACGTTAACATTCGATGAAGATTACGAAAAGGCTCGAATAGCACGTAAAGAAGTGTCTGGACATAGAGTATCTGATGTAGTTTTAAGCGGAAAGAATGTCGGCAAGGTTCGTAAATTGTACATTATGATACTAAATATGCTGTATTTTTTTAAAGGATATTGTGCATGGTATTACAGGTGTAGTGAAGAAACCGATGGCCGGTGCTAAAGAAACAGGTGCACGAGGTTTTGTAAAAGGTTTAGGTAAAGGTTTTCTCGGACTTATCGCGCGACCGGCAAGTGGTATTGCTGATTTTGCTAGTACTTCATTGGATTTGATCAAACGGTTAGTGGCTTTTCTATTATTCAGATCTTTCGAATATGTTGTTGCTTTATTTTTCGTAGAATCGCTGTGCATGAAGAAGTTGTTCATCGCGTTCGAAGTCCACGTCACGTTGGTCGAGATGGCATTGTTCGACCTTCTACTGCTCATGAAAGAAGAGGATTTTATATTTTGCATGTTAGTTTTTGATAAATTTTCTTTCATATTAAACTTTCTTTTGTATTTATCAGATACTTGACAATGAAAAACATACCAAATCCGACAGCTATATTGCACACATTGATTGCTCTGAAGATCCACCCACTTGGCTTATGGCTACTTCTCAGTACATGTCACCTGTCACTTTTGGAAAAAATTTATTTATCATTTTTTTAGACGATTGTTGTTTTTAACTGGAACATCCACCTCGTCCAATGTCTATAAAGTTGAATGGGATTGCCACTACAAAGAATTGAAAGAACCACCTGTTGTTAAATTCCAACCAAACGAAATTCAAATTGTTTTTAAAGTAAGTCCAATATCCATATTTATCGCTGCTAATAGAAGTATTGAATGCGGATAACGATGAAATGTGGAAGATGTTCGTTTATTTTGTGAAAAGAGCAAGATTAAGTTTTTTTTCTCTTGTTTTCTAGGAGCCAAAACTGCTTGGACTAATCAAGAAAGACGAACCGCATGAAGAAACGGTTCCCTATCGAAATACTGGCGAGGCTCGAGTATGTTATTTCTCTTTGCTTTTAATTTTTTCCAATCATTAATTTACTTCTCTTTTTTGCTACATTAGTATATCGTCGACAAAATTACCCAGGTGATGCGTGCAATGGAACTTTAATTTCATTTTATTATCTTTCTCTCTATTTCGTTTTTTTTTTTCTCTTATTTAAAGAATATCTTTTATAATACTCCCGATTTTTATCTTTTCTGTACGAATGTACGCAGCAACAAAAACTCTATTATGTTTTTATTTCTAAACTATTATAAACTTTATCAATAGCATAGATATGTACTCAAGTTATCTGTTTATTCCTGAACGTTGTATATTTATTCTAGCCTAATAATCATAGATATATGTGTTGATCAGACTCAAAACAATTCTGACTTCGCTTTCCCTGATGCTGACTATGCCATTTTCAGGAGAGATCGAAATCATATAGACTATGATACGCTTCATCTAATTCATTAGGGAACTTCTTATATAACGTCATATCTCGTCCGATTGATCGATTCATCATAGAATTTCATCATGGCATAGTCGAAATGAATGTTCAAGTATTTATGATGTTCATCGAAATGTTTCAGACAAAAACATATTTTACATCCACAATGAATACACAAACGTGCATTCTTTTGACAAAATCGGACGAACATTGCTGGTTTATCATCGTGACCCAATGAACCAACCGATCTTTACTGTCTCTTTCATTGGCAAATGTCAGGTTGCAATCAATGCCGATTGTTTTCAAGAGTTTTCTTTCAATTTGACACAAAAAACAATCGAAACTCAATGTTTTGATCATAAACACATCAGTAAACGTGATCATCTTGGACATATGATGAAATTCGGCGAATCACAATTTTGATTGATCACTTTCCTTTGTTTGTATAATTGATCATTCCTCAGTTACAATCAATTATGAGTAACGCATTTCGTCTATCAATTGTTTAGCTTTTTCTTTTGTCAAGCCGATATCCTCTTAATCAATATGAATTGAACTCGATAGTTCCAATTCGAGAAAAGAAACAATTTCATTCCGATGATGTGTGATCCAACGGACGATTCTTTCAAGCATATTGATCATTGTTAATGGCCATGCTGATAAGAATTTATTTGCCTTCAATAATTTTCTATTCTCGATGAGGAATATCAATATTACCTCAATCTTTGCTAGATATGATACGAGTATTAGTATGGATGAGATTCCAATTCTTTCTACTATTGTTTTGAGTATAGACAGGAGCAAATTACTTATTTTGTACATCCGTCATCTAACAAGGAAGGTCCGCCGACTAATAAATCGATTTACAATCGAAGTCTAGGTGACTATAGATAATCAACAGTGCTGAATCCAAATATCAGAGTTTCAGCTGATTATAGGCCTTTAGAAATCCAGGTTTCGAAAAACTGGTTTTCTATAGAAAAATTTTGCTGCTCTATCCAAATTGTGGAGTCCATCGAATTGTCTATAGAAACCTTTTTTGTTCAATTTTTGAACCATTGTTGAGGTCCGTACAATACTCTAAACTTTGCATGTCTGAAGAGTTTTAGTCTTTTTTCGCATTTTTATCTCTGAATATTTTGTTAATCTATCTCTTTGGTATATTTCAGACGCATTTTGTCACATTCCTATGAATGCAAACGCGTTCTGACAGATGCAAACGTATGAGACAAGCAGCTGTGTCGGCAAATAATTCCTATCTTTTTATTTAGACTAAAAGTGGCTTTTGTCAGAAAAGAAAAACATCCGTTGTGCCAGAACTTCAAGTACGTTGAGGTCTGACCTAACAGAAGTCGTACACAGAAGGTAAGACACAAAGCAGATTCGATTTTTTAAATTTTTTTTACTGATTCAACGTTTTCTGTCTAATCAAAAACTTACAAAGCAAAAAAAAATGTCAACTGCAATGTTCAAAGCAAGTCTAATAACGAGAAAAAGTTCTAAAAATGTAAGCACCGTTTTAAGTTTGCATCTTTTCCTTTCTTCATCAACACACTGTAATTTGTTTTACTGTATTATTAATGTTCAACTATTTACATAACCCTTCATACCTAGAAGGAAAAGAACGTAGTTTGAGATTTTCTTTTAAACCTTTTTTGAAAATTTTAGCTTCTTACTACCTGATAATTAACCGTGAAAATGGTATGAAATTAAAAAAATTGTTCAAAGAACAGTTTCTTCGAATAATATTCACAAATAATAAAGACAATTTCTTCACATGTTTGCAAATGAAGTGGTTCGTGTGATTTAATTGATGGGCAGCATAGTTCGTTAACGGTTGATACTGAAGGAGGATCTTGTGTTAATAGCCCAGCTGCAAACCAACTATACTTTACCATTGGTTGAAAGATACATGCTGAAAGTTGGTCGTACACAAGTGAAATTAGTTTAATAATATTATTTCTCTCATATAGATAAATTTCTATTTCATCCACAGTAACACGGTTATAGTTTTTTTTATAAGATTTTTTCATTTGTCCATTATAAAAACGATCTAAAGGTTGAAGATTACTCGTAGTTTTGTCTAGTATTTCTAAATGAACTATGTCTTTTCCATCATAGTTTTCTTATCATAAATTTTAAAAGTACTTTGACCGGATCAACTATCGAACAACAATAAACACTGATCTTACCAATAAGCGACTAATGAAGACGTCAGCTTTCATAAATAATAACAGGTAATAACAACGTTACTCGGATTAAACAAGTTTTTTTACAATTTCTCTCATTCTGCCATTTACTTCTTGCAGACACAACCAAACTTGACCTAAAACTTCTTCGTCAAGTAATATAGAAGGCTGTGGAATGTATAAATACGTACTAGCATTTTTAGACGCTACGGCATCATAAACTTTCTTTTCTCTAATAATTGATAACGTTCTGGTCAAATGAAGTTCCTACTCTACGCCAGAGTGATCACTGTTGATAACTTGTAATGAAGTATAATGTGACGATAAGTTTTGATAATCTAAAAGAAAATCTCGTTCCGATTTTTAAACTGCATAGTAACTGTCGATTACGTAGGTGAAGTTAGCACCAGATTCGAGTAAATCCAGCCAAGATTCGCCCAGGAACATGTTCCAGACATTCCACCAGTGTTCCAAGTACAACTCGATGAGCTCTATCGAATGGTGTATTCCAATTCCCGATAGCTCAAACACAGTCCAAGAAAATCAGAAAATACTAGATTTTCGCCATGAGAGATTTTATATCCATCTACTAAAACCTGCAAAGATTCGCCTGGGAGCATGTTCCAAGTACAATTTGACGCGCTCTATCGAATGGCGTGCTCAGATTTTCCATAACTCAAACTGAGTCTGAGAAAATTTCATAATACTAGTGTATCACCACAAAAATCTCGGATTTTATGCAATAAAACCGCCAAGATTCGCCCAGGAACATGTTCCAAACGTTTCACTGGTGTTCCAAAGTACAACTCGATGAGCTCCATCGAATGGTGTATCCCAGTTCCCGATAGCTCAAACTAAATCCAAGAAAATCAGAAAATACTAGATTTTCGCCATGAGCGATTTTGCATCCAGCTACTAAAACCTGCCAAGATTCGCTCAGGAGCATGTTCCAAGTGTTCCATTCGCGTTCCAAGTACAACTTGACGCGCTCTATCGAATGGCGTGTTCAGATTTTCCATAACTCAAACTGAGTCTGAGAAAATTTCATAATACTAGTGAATCACCACAAAAATCCTGGATTTTATGCAGTAAAACCTGCCAAGATTCGCCCAGGAGCATGTTTCAAATGTTCCATTGGTGTTCCAAATACAACTCGATGAGCTCAATCGAATGGTATATTCCAATTCCCCATAGCACAGACCAAGTTCAAGAAAATCAGAAAATACTAGATTTTCACCATGGGCGATTTTGTATCAATCTATTAAAACCTGCCAAGATTCGCCTAGGAGCATGTTCCAAGTGTTCCACTGGTGTTCCAAGTACAACTCGATGAGCTCTATCGAATAATATATTCAGATTTTCCGTAGCTGGAACCGTGTCGCAGAAAATTTAAAAATATTGCTGGATCAATGCAAGAATTTGGTATTCTCTATGGTAAAACCTGCCAAGATTCGTGAATGAGCGTGTTCCAAATGATCCATTGGTGTTAGAAGTACAACTCGAAGAGTTTTATCGAATGATGCGTTTCGATACTCTCTATGTCAAAATGCGTCTGAGAAAGCGCGAAAATGCTGGTGTGTCAGCAGAGGGAATCTTTCGTTCTGGATAGTGAAAACGGCCAACACCCTTCCAGGAATACGTTCCACATGGTTCAATCTGATTCCGAGTACTACCGATGAGCTCTATCCAATGGTATAATCATATACTCAATAGCTGGAACGACGCTGAGAAAATCTAAACACACTAGTGTGTTTGCGAAGATATCGATGATTGTGGACACTAAAAGGAGCCAAGATTCTTCCAGGATGTTGTTGCAGTTATCCTACTTATGTTCGAACTGCAATTCGATGAGTGTGAGTGTGGGTGTGGGTGCAGTTGTGGGTGTGGGTGAGAAGAGAATCCAAACGTACATCCACACGCAAAACCGACACCCACACCCCCACCTATATACATAACCACACATAGCAACCCTTGTATGCTTATATGTTCGTTTTTGACGAGTGCCTGGGTTTAGTTTGAATTCTCGAGAATCCGATAACACTGTTTTATAGAGATCAAAAAGTTTTGCTTGGAAAAAAAGTGGATCATCTGGAATATCTTGCAGGAAGACTCCTCACAAGTTTTACTATCCAGAATCAAAGACTCCTGTGCTGAGACGCTAGCATTTTAGGATTTCCAGGAACGCAATTTCAGCTACACAAAAACTAAATGCACCATTGCATATAACTCATCGAGTTGCACTTAGAACATGAGTAGAACAACTGGAACACCATTCTGGAAGAATCTTGGCTGCTTTTACTGTCCACAAACATCGATTCCTGTACTCACAAGTTAGAAATTTTGGGTTCTCGGCAGCGCAATTCGACCTACAGAAATTCTGAATGCATTATGAGATAGAACTCATCGAGTTACACTTTCAACATAAGTGGAACAACCGGAACATCATCCTGGAAGCATCTCGGCTAGTTTTACTGTCCATAATCATC